GGCCAGCGCCAGGAGAGCGCCTTGCCCTTGCCGCGGCAGCGCTCGCCGCCTCCCTCCCTTCCCTTCCTTTTTTGCTTCTTTTTGTTCCACCCCCCCGCCCTTCCCGGACACTGAATTGCTGCTTTCTGAGATGAAAACCTCCCTCTCCGGACAGCCAGGACTCGTGTGAAGGACGCGCCGACACGGGATCGTAAATAAGGAGCGAGCGCGGAGACCCAGCGCAGCGGCCAGAACCCTCCCGTCCCCGGCCCCGGCCGGGGGGGAGCCCGCCCCCCGACTCCGCGCCCCGGCCGCACCGCACGCGCAGCGGAGGGTGCAGCTTGTAGGTTTCACCACCTAGAACAGGCAAACCCGGCAGCACGCGGAAAAGCCGCCTCTGCACCTCACTTGCCCCCACACCCTGCTTTTCACCCCCACTGGATGCCGAGATCCTGAGGTAATTTTTCCCCTCACACACAGCAGAGACTCTTTTTTGAACAGGACACAAATATATATTAGATTATAGAGATGTATTAAATTATTCCAGATTTAAATCTATTTTTTTGCTGCCAAGGAGTAGGGGGGACCAGACATTATCGTGTATATATATATATTTTTTTTTTCCTCTTAACTCATTTTATGGGTGAGTCAAGGCTGCTGAGGAGGAAAGAAACAGCGTAGTTAAAATCCCTTTATCCTTATCCACGGAAGGTTTTTTTTTTTTTTTTTTTTCCTCTCATTACCGTGCATTTCCTTTTGAAAAAGGAAACCTCTTATTTTGTGAACCAAAGATTTATTTTTCCCTTCCTCCTGGCCAAAGGAAGGAAACAGATAAATTGACACACTTAAATAGTCAAAGAGATTATCTTTTACAGAAAAAAAAATCTATATCTGAATCTAAAATAGTGTGGAGGGAGAAACTGGAATATCTAGCTAAAACCGGGATACTTACTAATCTCTCCTCAGAAGAGGAAGAGGTAAACACTAAACATCAACTTGTTCTTACAAGGAGGATTCAAACCCTAAATATAATAAATGGGGGATTACGGGTTTGGAGTGTTAGTGCAAAACAACACTGGAAACAAGTCAGCTTTTCCAGTCAGATTTCATCCACATCTGCAGCCTCCGCACCATCATCAAAATGCAACCCCCAGCCCTGCTGCTTTTATAAATAATAACACAGCTGCCAATGGCAGTAGTGCTGGGTCAGCTTGGCTCTTTCCTGCTCCAGCTGCCCATAATATTCAGGATGAGATTCTGGGGTCAGAAAAATCTAAAGCTCAGCAACAGGAAAAGCAAGAGTCCCTAGAAAAACAGCAGCTTTCCCCTAGTCAAAGTCAGGAAGCAGGCATGCTGTCAGAACCTGAGAAAGCTAAAAGCGAAGAAAATCAGGGCGATAACTCTTCGGAGAACGGCAGTGGGAAGGAGAAAATAAGAATAGAGTCGCCGGTGTTAACAGCGTTTGATTATCAAGAGGCTTCAGGGCTAGGTACTTCGACGCAGCCCTTGACGTCCACTGCATCTTCCCTGACTGGTTTCAGCAACTGGTCTGCGGCTATTGCTCCTTCTTCTTCTACAATAATCAATGAAGATGCAAGCTTTTTTCACCAGGGAGGGGTCCCTGCTGCCTCGGCTAATAATGGTGCTCTGCTATTTCAGAATTTTCCACATCACGTCAGCCCTGGCTTTGGTGGTAGCTTTTCCCCCCAGATTGGACCCCTCTCTCAACACCACCCTCATCACCCCCATTTTCAGCATCACCACAATCAGCATCAGCAACAGAGAAGGTCTCCTGCAAGTCCTCACCCGCCACCATTTACACATAGAAATGCTGCTTTTAATCAATTGCCTCATCTGGCTAATAATCTTAACAAGCCACCTTCTCCATGGAGCAGCTACCAAAGCCCATCGCCTACACCATCTTCATGGAGCCCAGGTGGTGGCGGATACGGTGGGTGGGGAGGGTCCCAAGGTCGAGACCACCGCAGGGGACTGAATGGAGGGATAACACCCCTGAACTCCATCTCACCCTTAAAGAAGAATTTTGCAAGTAATCATATCCAGTTGCAGAAATATGCTCGACCCAGCTCTGCCTTTGCTCCAAAATCTTGGATGGAAGACAGTTTGAATAGAGCCGAAAACATTTTTCCTTTTCAGGTGAGTGTATTCCATTATATCTGTAAGGAAAATAACAGATAAGTGCATTAAAATGCTCTAGAAAGGGTGGGATGGTGGGGGGGGGATTGGAATAATGCAGTCTGGTTGTATGACCTGTATGTTTGTAACTTAAAAAAAAAAAAAAAAAGCCTCACTTGAAATGTCACAGTGTGAATTACAGTCTCCACGATCAGGGCTGTGAATCATGCTTTTTTTAACAGTGCTGGTCATATCTATAGCCTACCAGACATCCATAATTAGTCTGTTTCCTTGATCCTAGGACTTACGCACATTAAAAAATAATTGATGAATATATATAGTTACAAATAGGAAGTAGATTTCCAAGGACAAGTAGGAAAAAAAAGTTTCCTGATGAAGTGCAAAAGACCTGAGGCTTTTTAGAGCATTTGAAGAAGCAGCAAATCTGAGAGGGGGGGGAAAAAAACCTATTGTTACTGTATTTTGTTTTACGGTATCATATGGACTTGCAGTGTATCATGATTTTTGGAGACTTTTTTAAAAACTTAGGTTTTTTCTGTATTGATAATTAACATATTTTGCTTTCCTCAGCAACGGTAGCAAATTTTGGTTACAGATCATTAAATCATTACCAAAAATAGATCTGTACAAATGTCAGTTGGTGGTCTCCTGTATTTCAATATGGCCTTGTCCTGGCAGGAGGCAGGTTGTCTGACATTTCAGCCTCTCCTTCTAGGCTGACTGTGTATGATTTTGAAAAGAACTGTATAATGTGGAACCTAATTTGCAGTAAATGTTGAAATACTCTTCATCTAACTGCTACTGAAACCTAGATTTTCTGTGCGTGTGCTTTTTGTGGTCTCCTTGGGTGAATTTAGAAATGTAAGAAAACTTTAACATCCATCGGGTTGTTTTTCAGGACTTTCAAATGAGAGGAAAAGTAAAAATTTCAAAACGGTTGCAAGATTTCTAACCATGGTGTAAGAAGCAGGATGACCTACTTTTAAATAATTTGAGAGATCAGTAGATAAGAACAATGCAGTATGTCTCATGCCCTAAACCACCCTAAAGAAAAAGAAATATGCTTAGGAGTGACCTTGTGGATTCAGACGGAGGAAGAGTTCAGTTCTCCTTGCAGACTGCTCAGGTTCTCTGTGCCTTACCGGCCTAGGCAGCTTTCTGACCACACAGCAGCTGCTGGTGATAACTTTCCATTAAAGACCTTTCTTTCTACTGCAGAGCTACTGGCTGGTTAAATATCAGGTAGAGCCTGTGTAGCTTTAGAATGCCCTTTAATAACTGATTTTAATGCTAGGATTTGGAATGAATATAAGCAACCTGTGTCTAGCACACTGGATTTATGCACCAAAACCATTAGAAAAAGGGACACAGCGGGAGCTGGTCTTTTTTCTCTGCAGCAAGACTTCTTTCACTGCAGCAAAGACTGCACTTTTTCACTGCAGCAAACCTTGGCTCACGATTTGCTCTGTACCCTGACACACAGCTGATGTACAGACTGACAGAATGAGATCAAGTGTGCCCTTGCTGCTCGCTTTAGGGCCCAAATGTACATGCAGTGATAGGGATGGGCTTGGTTTGGTGTAAAGGAAATTTCAGGGAACTGACAAAATCAAGCTGGACTTTAGGGTTATGTTGCGAGGGTAAAAATACAAGGACCTGTATTTTGATCGTGGTCAGAAATAATTGTTATGTAGCATGTTGGTATCTGTTTACATAAACACTAGGATGAAGCTGTACATGTCAAGACAAAGTCTGACACTTCTACATGCCAAGAAAGGGAAAGTGTTAAAGTGAAGGGCCTTCCAGTCTGTTACTATCACTTCTGTGAAAAAAAGGGCAGGGCCGAAAAACAGGACTTCAGCACCGCACACTGAAAAAGATGCTGATTAATTTTGAAGCCATCTTGGACAACTGCTTTTTATAACTTTTATTCATGCAAAATCTTAATCTCCTTTGGTCACCTAGTGATTTAGGTTTCAAAAGCACACAGCATTTTTGAATTGCTGGAGAAAAAAAGATGTAAAATTTGACCTTTAGATTTTTTTCTTGATTATGCTGCTTGCGTGGCTTAAAGCAGAAATGAGCAGTTTTGCTTATGGTATATGCGTGCATGCATATATATATATATGCACATATATATATGAAGCATCTTTGAGTCAATCAAGTATTGGACAAGGCTATTTTGTTAATGGAATCTTCTTGGATTTCTATTTAGGAAATAATTGAAAGCTGTCTGTGCTGCAGCCAAATAATGGAGTAATTTGAGACAACTCTCCCTCTCATTTAATATTTATGTTTTGTTACTTAAATGATTAACTAGTGTTGCAGTAATAGAGTGAAAATGAGTTTCTTTAGGAGGCAAGATGTAAAGCAGCAATTGCAGATATTTGGAGCTCACTTTTGTGCGTGTGTTAGCAAAGGTTACCTTTAATGCTTAGTGAAACACAGAAGTATATGTTTTGATGGAAATCGTAGGGTAACCGAGCATAAATGCTCGTTTCCTCTTTGGAGAGGACAACATTGCACAATGTCCCTATAAACCACTAATGCAAACTACTCCTCACTTCAGATGTTTCTGCCTACAGCTCTTAATCACTTGTGATGAAATGGGCCCTCATCGATGAAAGGAAAATTCTGTGTTGATCTGCTTTGATAATCATGCGATTTTGGTGGTTGTTTGCATGGTGCTGAGAGTTGCAAGGAAACCCTGTGCTGTTTTTTTTTCCCCAAAGTGTTTGTCCCTTGGAATTCTGTCTCATTACACCTCACAAGCACATATCTATAGCAACCTCTCGTTGCGGATGTGGAAATTGAGGCAAGGTCAGAGAAGACAATTACCAGACCTGTTAATGAAATTAAGGCTCGATACTGTGCTTTAACCAGCGGGCAGCCTTCTCCCTTCGGAGATGTTTTGAAAAGAGAAAAGCCATTGTTCTTTGTGTGTCCATTTGAAAAGGAAATGGTCTCCAAATGAAAAAATGGTTCCCGAATAAAGACATTTGAGTGCTTGTGGATACCATAGCCTCCCCTGCCCATGAATAAGTGAAGAGAGACGCGAATGTGACTATTACATCTGACAAAGTTACTGATTTTTTAAAAAATAATTCCTTCTACTTTCCTCCTTGCAGCAGTGTCAGACTAAGTGCTCAGTAATTGCATTTTACTGTAGCATTGTCCTCCAGACTGTTTGGGCTTTGCTTTTGCCGTGTGCTTGCACTTCCTCATGAGAGGGGAACATCCTGCTTGTTATGCAATGCATAAATCTTGCTTTTATAGGCATTTCCAGGTTTCCAGATCTCATCCTCAAATGCACGATGATACTTTTTGTATTGGTCTTTGAAACCATTAGCAAGTTAAGCATTAGCATTTCAGTTTTTATGAAAGTACTTCAAAATAATTTGTGTTTATTTCTGGACTCAGACTTGAAAATAACTGTCCATTTCAAAGAATTTTGTACATGAGGATAATTCATTATATCCACTTGTTCAAAATGTTTTTTCCTTTTTTTCTGTAGTGGTTAATTTCCAGGTATATAACCCCTTCCAAATCCAATGAGGGTCTGTGCCAAAAGGACTTTCTCTTCCTCTAGGAGATACAGAATGTCTGAGAGAGCACATGCGTGATTACAGAATGTGCTTTATTTCTAAAGTGATTATTTATTTGCAGGTAGAAATAGTTTGACTTAAGCGCATTAAAACAACTAATTCTCAGGAAGTGTAATTAAAAAAAAAAACTTTTGAGTACATTTGCCAGTTTTTCTTCTTAAAGAATTTTTGCAAATTTCTTAACAAATATCTTTTAAAAGCATAGTAATTTTCTGTTGAGGAACCTTTTAGAAATCAAGCTGTCTGGTTGCAAAAAATGAGGCTACTTGTTTTGCAGAAAGTTTGGCATTTTTTTTTCCTTCATCCTCGTAACAGCAATTACTCTGAAATTTTGGGCTATCATTTAAAAGAAGAGTATTTGAAGTTGGATTTTTAAATGTCTAGTCACCCATTTTTCTGTAACTACATCAGCTGTGCAGTAATTAGTGTTTTATGCTGTTCCCCACAGCTATTGGTCTGTGGAATTAGAAGCACTCTAATGTGGTATGACATGCACAAGTTGAGGACTATGGAAGTTAACACTGTTCTTGTTTTATAAACTTACTTCTGACGTTAATACTTCAGCCTTGGCCCTCCTGTGCGTTTTTGACCTCAGGGTTTCTTTTTAAAGAGAGCTTTTGTTAGAAGTTATTTGAGTTATGTTTGTATTTTGCAGAGATTAAAAGGAATACTCTTATTAAGCATTTTGCTTTGAAAATGCATTGCATAGTTAGCCCAGCATAAAGACTGAGAACACAAGATATCATGGAAAATAATTTTTAGAAAATTATATATATTTATAAATAAAAAGTGGCTAAAATAGGATCAAACATGTTACTAGAATTCTTTGTCTATAATTTCTAATGCATAAAAATAAGTTCAAGTTTGACAAACCTCAAGCACTCCCTCCCAAAGTTCCTGTATTATGCGTCACTTTTCCAGCGTTTTCTTATTGTTCCCTGGTGAAGCTATAAAAGATGATCAAGGCAACATCCTTTCAGGAAAAACCTGTTTATTCAGAGCCTTTAATTCACTGGATCCTGGACTGGGAGCTGTAATTCAGCATTTGCAAGGTGGTGGGCAGGCAGAGAAGCATACTCAGAATTAGCATCAAGTCCAATTTTCTTAATAATTAAGAGAAAAATGTGGAACTTGTATTATGTCTTCAGTATTACCTTTTTCTACCCTGCACTTTTCCTGTGATGTCAGGATTTTTATTTATGGGAGATAAAGAGGTTGGCAAGCATAGCTATGAGTTTTCTGATTTTTCACTAGTATCTTCATTTGGCAAAGATTTAAATATATAAAATAAGCCCTGGTTTTAAGCATTGTAACAACTACACTGGCCCCATAAATAGGGCTTCCTCACCTTCAATAAATTGCTTAATGCACGGGCTCGCATTGCATTATTACTGA